TTTTCACGTTACTATTTTTTCTCTGTGATTTTGACATGTGGATTTCTTTTGTAGTTTCTGATTCTTGTGTGAGACTCAAGCCTTCAAGTTTAGGTCTGCTTTTTCTCGTGAACTTTCTATGTCTTTGTGGTTTACTTTTTGGGCATGAAAAAAAGCTGGTTCCTCTAAACTTCCAGTTCTCTCTTTTAATTTTATATTGGAGTGGTCAGAGTGCTTTTGTTTTCAGGAGTTCCCACAGAGGCCTAAGTCAGATGAGGATCAGATGCTCTCAGGCTTTCTCTAAGATCTGGATCCCTCCAGGAAAGATTTTGGCCTCAGGAATTTTGGGGTTGGACTGGCCTGGGAGCAGGGCCCAGGAAAGATGCTGGTCTAGGGCAGCTCGTGGCCATGCCACGCAGAGATGCAAAGGGAGATGGGGGTGGGAAGGGACCCCAAGGGTTCCTGGGGACTGCACTGAGGAACTGGGTTGGTCTGGATGCAAAGGATCAGGAAGTGGAAAGGTCACCCCCTGCATCCAGGAAAGAGGCTGGCGGGTTGTGCAGCCCAAGGAAGCAGAGGGAGGTGAGGGCAGGGCCCAGAGGGCTCCTGGGGACCCCAGAAGGAACTGCGTTGGTCTGGATGCAAAGGATCAGGAAGCAGTGGTGGTTCCCCCGGTGTCCAGGGCACCAAGATGAGGAATGGGAGAGGACCCAGGCTAGGAGGAGAGACGGGTGGGGGAGATGGGAGGGTGAATGAGGCTGGGGAAGTCAAGGTGCAGAGGACACGATTGACTTACCTCGGAGAGAGGCCTGTGCAGGCCCAGGGAAGCAGAGGGAGGTGAGGCTATTATTTTTATTTTATGTGTATGCATGTATTGCCTGCATGTAGGTAAGTGCACCCATGTCATGCAATGCCTATGGAAGACAGAAGGGGCTGTCTGATCTTCTGGAACTGGAGTTATGGACAGTTAGCTGCCATGTGGGTGCTGTGATTCGAACCTGGGTCTTCTGCAAGAACAACCAGTGTTCTTAACTGCTGAGCCATCTCTCCAGCCACCCCTTAATTTCTTTTCCTATTGCTTTGATCAAATACTCTGACAAAAGCAGCTTAAGAGAGAAAGGGTTTATGTGGTTCACAGTGCCAGGGCACAGTTCATCATTGCAAGGAAGTCAAGGTTGCAGGAACTTGAAATGTCAAGTCACGGTCACAGTTAAGGGCAGAGAGCAGTGAATTATGTATTACGGCATATATACCTTATGTATGCCAGTACTCAGCTCGATTTCTCCACTCTTTATTTTTTTATTTTAGAGGCAGGGTCTACCTGTAGCCCCAGGTGGCCTGGAACTCACTATGTAGACCAGGCTGGCCTTGAACTCACAGAGATCTGCCTGCCTCTGCCTTTTGAGTGTGATTAAAGGCTTGTTCTACCATGCCCAGCCTGATTTTTTTCCACTCTTACACAATCCAGGATCTCCTATGTAGGGAATGGCACCCAGAATGGGCACATTTTCCCACCTTAATTAACCCCATTTAAGAAAATCCTTCATAGAAATGGCCACAGGCCAAGCTATTCTAGAGAGTTCTCATTGAGATTCCCTTTCCACATGGTTGTGTCTTGTATCAAGTCAATGATCAAGACTATTACATATTTTTTGCTATAGTTGTAGATTGCTGACTTTATTTTATTTATCCATGGCACTTTGGGAAGAAGAGAATGACCTTGTAGCTTATCACTGTCCCTGTGACCATGTGAAAAGGACTGACTTCCTACTTTAATGTAGGGTGAGATCAAAATCTGCGAAATTATAGTATCTAAAACATCACAGTGTTAATTCACAGCACATGCAGTTATCTTAAATGGATTGTTATATTTCTTGTCTTTTAAAAAAATTTATGTTTTTATTTTCTGTGTATGAGTGTATTGCCTCATGTGTGTATGTGCACCTGCGCCATGCAAAGCTCACTGAGGTGAGAAGAGGGCGCCATAACTGGAGTTATGGATGGTTGTTAACTGCTGTGTGGGTGCTGGGAATTGAACCTGGATCTTCTGCTAGAGCAACAAGTGTGCTTAACCGCTGAGCCATCTTTCCAACCCTACATATTTCTTGTCTTAATAAAGTCTTACTTTGTCAGCTTGGGAAACAAAGCTTTGTGGGTTCTCTCTCTTTTTTTTTTTTTTCTCTTCTGTTTTTCTTCTGTTTCACTAAAAATGAGCAATTCATAAACTTAACTATTTTTTGAGGGGTAACATTCTTTTCTTCTTTCTCTTTTTTAGTGCGATTTATGTTTATTCAGACACAAGACACCCCAAATCCCAACAGCTTAAAGTTTATACCAGGAAAGCCAGTTCTTGAGATGAGGACCATGGATTTTCCTACCCCAGCTGCAGCATTCCGCTCCCCTCTGGCCAGGTGTGGTACTGTTTCTGCTGGCTTTTATTAAGAAGCAAAAGAGCCCACTCAGCTTATGTAGTCTTGTGGAGTGCTTACATTTTTGTCTTTTTTTTTTAAGACAGGGTCTCGGTCTCTGTTCCCATAGCCCCAGCTGGCCTGGAACTCGCTCTGTAGACCAGGCTGGCCTTGAACTCACAGAGACCTCTGCCTCCTGAGTGCTGGGATTAAAGGCGTTAGCTACCATGCCAGAAAAGCTCTTACATTTTTATGGGCAGTGCTTCCCCCGACCCCAATAGAGAATATTTTCTTTCCAGTTAAGAGATGAAAAGACTTGAAATTAGGAAAATTTCTCCTAAGGAATATATTTGAATGCCTAAAATTTTTATTTTTGTTATTGATTTTTATGTGTATGAGTGTTTCCCTGTGTGTATGTAAATGCACCAATACATAAAATGCCAGCTAAAACCACTATGTGGTTTTGGGAACCAAACCCAGGTCCTCTAAGAGCAGTAAGTGCTCTTAACTGCTAAGCCGTCTTTCTAGCCCCTAAATTTTTGTTTTTTTTTACTTAAGAAATCCACCCAATGGATAATTTTGGCAAATTTTCAACCTAAATCTTTAAAACTCTAATTTTTAAATAATTGTGTGTGTGTGTGGGGGGTGCATGTTTGGTTGTGCATGTATGCAGAGGGTCCAGAGGTGGACCTTGGGTCTCCTCTATCACTCTCCATCTTGTTTTTTGAGAGAGGGTCCCTCACTGAACCTGGTGGTCACATATTCAGCTAGACTGGCTGACCAGCATGCCCTGAGAATCCTCCTGTCTCTGCCTCCCAAAAACTGGGATTACAAATACATGTTGCTATGCCTGGGTTTTTACATGTGCTACAGATCTGAACACAGGTCTACATACTTACATGGCAGTCAATTTACTCAGTGGGCCATCTCCCTAGCCCCTTTAAAAATTTTTGAGATGGGGTCTCATGTGGTCCATGCTGGCCTCAAACTTACCATGCAGGTGAGGTAGTCCTTGAATCCCTGAATCTTCTACTTCCCAAGTGCTGGGATTACAGATGTCTGCTACTATGCTGTATTTAAAACTTTGATTTTCAAGATCCATGAAAACTTGTCCTTAATTTCATAAGGAAGAGTAGCTGAATTTCTAGATGCTTTAAGAAGTATGTGTGAGGCAAATATTTGGCAGGTGTTTTCACACTTTGTAGTTGTATAATAGGAAATCAGTGAGACTGGAGAGATGGCTCAGAGGTTAAGAGGACTTACTCTTGCAGAAGACCTAGGTTTGGTTCCTAGTACTTACATACAGACACACGCATATATACATAATTTTTAAAAATCTTTAAAAAATAACAATAGGCATTCTTCTATTTCCTTTTTTCATTTCTTTTTGTTATTTAGTTTAATTTTATTAAATAAAATAGTCAAATCTTCCTCTCTTCCTAATTGGTTTTGCAGTTTTATACTGGGCTTACAAAGATCAGGAAATACACATGCATACAAGGTTTGGGTAGGGATGTTTATTGTTGACAACAAGTTGGAAACAATGTAAGTATTCATCAACAGGGAAAGTTAGGTACGTTTGTTCATAATTTGTACGTAAAAAGGATGAGGGAGGTCCATAATTAAAATACTATCCTAAAAAGGTGTCTAAGACATACAACCTGGGGTTTTTGTTTTGTGTTTCGCAACACTGGAGACTGAACCTTAGGGCCTCAGGCCCTAGGCAGAGCTCTGCCACTGATCTACAGCCCCAGCTAAGGCATACATACTATAAAGTGAAGACAGCAAGTTGCAGAACAGCTGTGCAATGTGCTAATATGTATCTACTCCCACCCAACACCCAGCAATTGCCCATGAAAGGTCCAGGAAACATGCATACCAGCAGGATGACCTAGGATTTTGGAGGGCAGTTGGAGGGCATTTTAACTTGGTTGTTTTACTTTTTGAGACAGGGTCTCATGTAGCCCAAGCTGCTCTTAAACTACTGATCTCGTCCTCCCCGCAACCCGCAACATACAAACTTCCCCAGTGTTGGGATTAGAGGATAAGCTATGGGACCTGGTTTTAGTTTTTTTATTTACTGTTTGAAATGTTTGCATTAAGAATGAGTTCATGGCAGAATGCATGAAATCCAGTGGAGGGGGGGTTATGAGAGGGTGCCAATGGGGAAAGGGGTATAAAAATGATTAGGATACATACAAAAAAACTTTAAATTTAAAAAAAGAAAAAAAAATTACTCTAGAAACTGTAATTTTTCATTTTTACATTGTATGGGCATTTATGTTAAGTTTCAAACTGCAGTGAGAGGTAGCTTATTACTAATCCACACTCTGTGATATCTGAAATACAAAATACAATTAAGTAGCATTACATTAATGAAAATTTCATAACAAGAGCATCAGTTTTATAGATTGTTTCTCAGTTGATTCTTTTGAAAAGTACTCTAGTTTATAAATTCTTATAATTTTAGAATAAATTTTTTAAAAAGGCACTTGGAAGGCAGAGGCAGGCAGATCTCTGTGAGTTCAAGTCCAGCCTGGTCTACATAATGAGTTCCAGGCCAGCTGGGGCTACAGGAGACCCTGTCTCAAAAAGAAAAAAGAATGAGTTCATGTAGCCCAGTGTGGTGGCACTTGCCATAAGCCCAGCAATTGGGTGGCATAGGACTAGGAGTTAGAGGCCTGGGCTACACAGTGAAGCCCTGTTTTAACATATACCGAAAAAGTAGGAAAAAAATGTCTTGTTTCTTGGATTCATAGAGTTTATTAGCTTAAGCAAAGCTAACCTTGCTTTCTTTTTTTTTGTCTCCGAGTTGTGTTAGGGGATGTTTTTGCTGTAAGCTGGATGTAAGATCCCGAGGAAAGGCAGGTCTGTCTGACCAGTGTTTTCCTAGAACCTGGTACAATGCCTGTCAGGCAGGTCTAGATATCTGCTGTGTGAATGAGGGGTGATTGAATGAATATGCAACAGTGTAGCTCACCTCACGAAGGCCTTGCCAGCTGTTCTTGTTTCTGTGTCTGGCAGAGCCTTCTCTTGAGTGTGATGTTGTACTGCATTGTCTGCATGTACCATGTCTTTTTACTCATTGCCAGTCAGTAGACATGTTCAGGTTTTGGGAGGTGGTGTAAAAGATTGCTGCTCTAAAGATTCGTGTGAAGTCTTTGTGACTCTGCTCTTGGTTACAGACTTGAGTGGAGGTAGTATAGGAGACACAAACCCATCGTGGCTTATCCATGCTTTAGCTGGGGAAGCGAGTAGGGTGCACTGCCTTTTCTCTGCTTCTGTATATTGCCTTTCTGTAACAGGCTCTCTGTCTCTTTCTGTCTTCACAGGCAGTTGTTTAGGATTGAAGGAGTGAAAAGTGTCTTCTTTGGCCCAGATTTCATCACTGTCACAAAGGTATCGTTAGGAGTAAAGTGAGGCTGCATCTGCTTTTGAGCCCAGTGCCTTCTCCTGAATTTTCATTGTTTTTTTTTTGTTGTTTTTTTTTCCCCTTTTGAGTTTTATTGGAGAAAGGGTCTTGGTATTTAGTCTAGGTTGGCCTAAAATCTGTGGCCTTCCTTCCCGCCTCAGCCTCTCTAGTGCTGTCACTATAGCACATGTCACCACCCTTATCTAGAATTTTCATTTGGAATGTGCTATGGTGTTTTTTAATTTTATTTTTTGTTTTTTGAGACAGGGTCTCCCTACTGTAGTCCCAGCTGGCCTGGTCACTATGTAGACCAGGCTAGACTCAATCTCACAGAGATTCTCCTGCCTCTGGCTCCTGAGTACTGGGATTAAAGTCCTGCACCACCACAAAGCTCTTGTGCTAGGGTTTTAATAATTCATCCTGTTACTAAAAATCTCAGGAGAAGTTCACTTCTCAGAATTCTCAAATTCATTAAGAGAATTTTCAAGTTTGCTTTTAACTTTAATCCAGATGCAACTAGAGTCTAAGTAGCTTCATTTCTTTACCATTCAAGCAGCTTGATCCTCATCAGGTTAAATGCAGTATCCAAGATTATATACCCCACAGCAGGACCCAATGCTGGCAGGACTAGAATCTCACCTTACAAGTAATGTTTTTAAAAGTTTGTTACTGCATTTATTTATTTTTTGTATGTATATGTGTGTGTTTGGGCATGCACATGCCTTGACATGCATGTGGAGGTCAGAGGACAACTTTCAGGAATGAGTTCTCTCCTACTATGTGGGTCCCAGGAATCCAGCTCAAGTCATCAGGATTGGTGGCAAGCTGTTTTACCTGCTGAGCATCTGCCTGCCCCCAAGTACTATTTTTACTAATTCTTACTATAAGTTGATAGAGTAAAAAGGGAAGTAAGTAAATATTATGAACAAATTACATATGCTTGTGTCAGAAGCCATGATGACTGTGCCCACTTTTAAGGGTTGTATGTTTAGTAGTTCTTTGACATGTGTGACTGATTACAGACATGTGTGCACATGCACAGTCTGCTCTTTTGCAGTGATACTGCAGAGCTTCAGAGAGCAGTATACTGTGTAACTGGGCTAGGTGTTATGGAATTTCACTGAATCTAATATACAACCTGACAGTATGTCCTGGAAAGAAAGCTGTTTCCTTTTTAAGTCTCTAGATTAGTAGGACATTGACTATGTAAACTTAAAGTAGGGGTTGGGGATGTAGCTCAAGGGCAGAGAGCTTCCTAAGGCCATGGGTTTATTCTCCAACACTGCAAAGAAGGCAGGGAGGGAGAGAAGACAGGGAGTGGGAGGAGCGAACCTTTTAACTTTGACAATGCTATTATACACTGAACTTAGCTCACTGCCAGATAGCCTGTTTATGGAATTCCCCTTAAGATATATGTCACGAGACTTATGTATTGCTCACCTGAGTCCCATTTCTGATTCTAATTAATAACCCATAGGTTTCTTCATGCCTCATTTGTCAGTTTTCTGAGACTATGCATATTTTGCAGTTTTGTATGTTGCCTTTATTCTTATTCAGACAACCCTTTTTTTTTTTTTTTTTTTTTTTTTTTTTTTTTTTTGGTCTTTTTGAGACAGGGTCTTCCTGTAGCCCCGCTGGCCTGGAACAGGCTATGCAGACCAGGCTGGCCTTGAACTCACAGAGGCTTGCTTGCCTCTGCCTCCTGAGTGTTGGGATCAAAGGCATGCATCACCATGCCTGACTTATTCAGACAACTTTATTTCTTCTTTGTTTTTTGGAAATAGGGTCTCACTATTTAGCCCAGGCTGGCTTTAAACTTGCAGTAGTCCTGCTTTGGCTCCCAGTGTGCTGGGATTACAGCATGGACTGTCAGGCTTGGCTTTTTTCTTTTTATTACCAGTGTTTTCCTACTTAATAGCACCTACTACTTACAAAGATCTATGGAGGCATTTTCTTCCATCTTCCAGGTAACATATTAAAATATTACCTTTGCTAGGCAGAGTGGCACAGATCTGTAATCCCAGCACATGGGAGGCTAAGGAAGAAGGATCACACACATACACACACACACATGCACACATGCATGCACACATGCACACACTCACGTGCACACACATGAATCAGTATCTTTTCTCAGCCACTAGACATCTCTCTTGGTGCCGCACTTCTAACAATGGCAGTACCACTTAACCTCATTTACCATTTCTAAATTTGTTCTTAACATGTGACAAAATGGCCCCCTTCCTCCTTCTCCCTCAGTTTTTAGTAGGATTTAAGCATGAATTCTAACTAGCAGCATTCCCAGTCTAGACTATATTTAATAGTTTGTCCTTCTAGGGCCAGGTGTGGTGGCACACATCTTTAACCCCAGCAGTAGGGAGGCAGAGGCAAGCGGATCTCTGCATTCCACACCAGCTAGGGCTGCACAGTGACCTGCTGTCTCAAAATAAAAAGATATAAAATAGTTTGTCCTTCAAAGGAACTTTCCTATAAAGACTCTAGAATGAAGCATTTGTCTTTTTCTACGTATTAGTACTACTTGGGAATTTATGGATCCTATCTTTTATTTTTAATTAATTTATTTTTTTGGTCTTTTTGAGACAGGGTCTCCCTGTAGCCCCAGCTGTCCTTGAACTTACTATGTAGACCAGGCTGGCCTTGAACTCACAGAGATCCACCTGCCTCTGCCTCCGGAGTGCTGGGATTAAAGGTGTGCGCTACCACGCCTGGCTAAAGATCCTATCTTTTAATTTATGAAAAGAACTAGTTAGTCAAGTGTCCAGTCCTAGGTCAAGCAGCCTGAATGTTTTGTTGAGGTGCTGGTGTTGGCAGCCCATAGCCTACCAGCACAGGGGCCATGTCCTCTAGCACAGGGACTGTGTCCTCCAGCTGCAGCTACAGAGTTCTGGGTTCTCTTCAGGACATAATAATATATAAATGTAATGTAAACCAAATCTTTTGAATAATTGTGGAAAGCCCTGTATTATTCGATCAAGTATTTATATTCTGTTTTCCTGAAAAGAATGGGAATACATTCATCATCTTCTTAAAGACAGAGTATATTAAATATTTTAATTCCTCTCATCATAAAAATTATCTTCGGTGCTAGGCATGGTGATGTATGCCTTTAATCCCAGAACTTTGGAGACAGAGGTAGGCAAATCTCTCTGAGATTGAGGCAAGCCTGGTCTACATAGTAAGTTTCAGGACAGCTGGAAGCCCTGTCTCAACCTCTGCCCCCTACAAAATTATCTTCATTAGTGTGTTGCGGGGGGTATGCACCTGAGTGCATGTGTGCATATGGAGGCCAGAGGTGGATGCTGGTGTACTCTTCTTTCACTATCCATCTTATTTAAGATTTATTTATTTTTATTTTATGTATATGAATGCTTGCCTACGTGTATGTTTGTGTACTGTGTGTGTCCCTGGTACCCATGGAGGCCAGAAGAGGGGGTCAGATCCCCCTGGAACTAGAGTTACAGATGGTTGTTAGCTACCAATGGGTGCTGGGAACCAAACCAGGGTCCTCTGCAAGAGCAGTCAGTGCTTGTAACCACTGAGCTATCTCTTCAGGTCCTCCACCTTATTTTTTTGAGACAGGGTCTCACTGAACCTGGATCTCACTGATTTGGTTAGACTGGTTGTCTAGCAAGCCTCAGGATCCTTCTATCTCTGCCTCCTTGTGCTGTGTTTACTGATGGGTGCTCCCAGGGCTGGCTTTTTGCATGAGTGCCGGGTGTCCAAGCTCAGGTCCTTGTGTTTGTACAATAGGCACTTTACTGGCTGTGCCATCTCCCAGCCCTTACCTTAATTATTTTCATGATTATCCTCAGTGTAGAGCATGATATATATATATATATATATACACATTCAAAAAGTTTGATGAGTGAGTAGCAGAATGTTCTCTCACCCCCAACCCCCTACACCTCCCACTTACCCTACCTTCACTCCCCAGCTTAAAGAGCTGAAACTGATGTGGAATAGTGCCATGGCAGAGTACAAGCCATCTTTAGGGAAAGATTACTGAAAGGTAGTATTCTGAATTTTTCTTTGCAATTGACTGGAAATGTAACATTTTTCTTTTTATGATCATAGGAAAATGAAGAATTAGACTGGAATTTACTGAAACCAGATATTTATGCAACAATTATGGATTTCTTTGCATCTGGCTTACCTCTAGTAACTGAAGAAACACCTTCAGGAGAAGCAGGTGACATTGTTTTGGGTAATTAATGTTTATCCATATTATTAGACTTTATTACTTTATTCACATTTGCCTTGACTTCAGAAGCAATCAGAATATAAAATTTTAAGTGGTTTTATTAATTATATATAATAATGGGTTTCATTATGGCATTTTATACATGTTTATAATGTGTTTTGGTCATATTCTCCTCTGTTACTGTCTTTTGTATATCTCTTCCCAACTAGTCCTCCTTCTGCTATCACAACATGTATGTGTGTGTACGTGGGTGTGTGAATCAATGGATTTCATTAGGATTGCTTACAGGAGCATGGGCACCTTACCAGTGGCTACACCACTATAGACAATATCTCCCTCAGTGACCATTAACTGCATATAGATCTTCAGGAAGGGGTGGGGTCTCATGAGTCCACCTCCTGGATGGAATGTTGACAGGTCATCTTGTGCAGGTCTTGTGCAGGCAGTCACAGCTCCTAGGAGTTCAAAAGTGCCATGGCCCTGTCATCATTCTACAGCTCTTCATTCCACTCTCCAGGTCCTATGTTCTTTCTGCCCTGCAATGTTCTCAGAGCTTTGGATGAGGTGAATTAGAGGTCTCATTTAGGACTGAGCACTCAAGAATCTGTTATTCTCAGCAGCATGACAAGTTATAAGTCTTTGGGGTTACCTCTACCCACTTCAAAAAGAGTCTACTCTGAGCATTGCTGACAGCAGTGCTGATCTGTGGCCCTAAACATAATTATTTGAAAAGAAATTTGGCAGGTGCATCATGTCCATTTAGCAGTAATAGCCATATCTACCCACAAGGGCCTGTGACCACCTCAGCCACAGGCTTTGACCAGGCTTGAAGTACCAGACATGAATGCCCTCTTGTGGAGCTAGCCTCAATTCCTACCAGGAAGAAAATGGTTATTCCCATATCAGACTTGCCACTATTTCATTGGTGGGTGCATCTGGCCCAGCCAGTCAGTGGTATAGCACACAGGATCCAAGGTGAGTGAGACTGTTAATGCCATTCTCCCCCAGTAGCTAAGAGCACTTTCTGGCACTTTGAACTACCCAGCATAGAAGAAGCTTCCATTTCAGTTGCAGCTTGATTTCTCTGTGTCTTGTGACCAGAGCATCTGGTGCCCTCAGGAGTAGGCCTTCTTCAGCAATAGGCCTTCTTTAGCAGTAGGCCTCTTTGGTACTTAGCCTTTGGCACTGGGCCTTCAGAAGTAGGTCTCACTATCTAGTTCTTGTGAGTGATCAAGAGCAGTTGGAATATAGATTTTTGTTACTGAATATATTTAGCTCTGGAACCAGTTCTAAATGGGCTGTAACTTCATATATATTGTTTTATGTATTATTTTGGTTTTTAATTTGCATATACAAGTTTAAGTTGTATAACAGATTTCAATCCATTATACAAAACTAAATTTTTTAATTATGAAAAATTTGGGGCATTTGGAAAATAATATAGCAGTCATGAACTTGCTCTTGGGGAGGATGCAAAGAATCAAATACACAAATGTTAAATTTCGCCATAGTTACTTTAGACTTTTTTTTGTTTTGTTTTGGTCTTTTTGAGACCAAAAAAAAGCTGTAGTCCCAGCTGACCTGGAACTCATAGGTAGACCAGGCTGGCCTTGAATTCACAGAGATCCACCTGTCTCTGCCTCCCAAGGGCTAGGTTTAAAGGTGTGTGTCACCACACCTGGGTGACTCTTTTTTTTCTTGATGTAGTCTTTTCTAGTCCACACCCTTCTGCCACAACCCCCCCCCCCAG